AAAAAAGAAAAAAGAAAATAACCATGATCCAAAACTGGGGATTCACTGGCTTTTGATGTCACTAAGCCAGAAAAATGGAAAGCGTTTGAAAAAATATAATGAAATTATAGTTTAGTATGTCTAAAATAGATTGTCAGTGCTCAAATGAAAACAGAAATAAAATGACTTATCAAAACAAGGTACTATTTAAGGCATTACTTTTGTTCAAAAACTAAGTAATTTATATCCCATAAATCCATTGCTTTTAAAAATAACCACAAAGCCATATTTCCATTTAAGAAATACAATTTTCTGCATAAATTTAGGAAGAGCTTGGGTAAAATGAAAGAGGAACAAGCAACATAATGGAAAATCAAGTTAGTCTGAACAGTTAGTAATAAGTAATTTGATGTTTGAAAAATCAAGACAAGAATTTAGTGCTAAGGCTGTTGATGTTGTTATTACATAAAATATATAAGCAAAGGCTTATTGTAAATAGAAAATTTAAAATATAATTTTAGCCAACTTGGCCATCTTTACCATCTTTACCTGACCCAGAAGTAAAACTAAAACCACTGTCTGTGTATCTGAAGATGAATTTTAGTGTACATAAAAGCTGAAGGGTAGGAAGGCATTCTACAGCAAACTGTTTAAAATCCCAGTTATTTTAAACATGCTTAACATGCTTCTTTTAAAAACACCTTAAGGAAAAAAAAAACACTAAAATTGTGCATATAATTGTTTCAATATGGTAACTGAATCTTTGATCTAATTTTTCCCAAATAAGGCAATTGATACTGAAATTCTGTATTTTTTTTACTGAATTCACATAGGTGAGATTCACAACTAACTGTTTTTCCATATGTTTTATACATAGATTATTAGGCAGAGTCAAAAAGTGGTAAGTAAGAAAAGCATATAAATTTATAATAAAAAATCAAGTTACCACAGAACTGAGGTCACTCTAATGGAAAAATAAAAAAAGAATAATTAGAAAAATCAGTTAAATGTTAAAGATAAAGAATGACTTAAAATGCATTTCTGCATTTTTTTACTTACTAAACAAGACAGATTAGTAAATAAGAAAGTAAACAGAAGCAACATAAAGAAATATGACAAATTTTTTTAAAAGGTGAAACTTCTAAAGTTAAGTGACAATGGAACAGAAAAGAATACTACAGCTGAATACTCAAAGAGAAGCAAGTAGGTGCATCCCATGAATTACTAGTTCTCCAAATTCTTTACTATAATGTAATTCTTCATACATACTTGGAATGGACATATAGTATTCCTACATTCACAATAATTTATTATTACATAGCTTTCCCTACATTTATATAATAATGGAAACTTTCTGTAAGGATTAGAGTTCCCTGGATCATACTTCCAGAAATGCTGGACTAGACCATTTTAGATGGTTGAGTGTTTATTCTTTTCCTTCTTTATAGATTTCAGTTAGTCTTTTAATATTTTAACCTACTTATTTATCAAGGGCAAAGTCAAGTGTGACCTCCTTCATTAAATTCATAACTGAAAATATTTTTCTATCTCTGTTCTCATAGCATGAGTACAAGTCACGACTTAGGGTGTGTGTGTCTCTGTGTGTGTGCGCGCACACGTGTGCGCACATGTGTGTTATTTCTATTGTAGTTATGCCATTTCAATCTCCAGTGGATGAAAGTTCTAGGAAGACTGAGAACATGAATCATGTTCCTCCTCAGATATTAGCATTATTAAACACATCAAAAACATGTTTGAGATTTGCACGAGGACACTAAAAATCACTGTACAAGTACTGTAGCAGAGTAACAAGCATCACTTATTGATAAAGGTGTAGGTAACTCCTACAACCTGCCTGAAACAATTATTTAGAGCCAAGATAGCCTACTTCATACTACTGTCTTAACACTATTTGTCTTTGTGACAGGTAATATGGACAATCTTACAAATCTTAAATGTGATCTGTTCGCTCTTGGTTTTTAAAGATGAAACTATTTTTAAGTTTAGAATTTTATTATTTATTTATGTGTGTGTGTGTGTGTGTGTGTGTGTGTGTGTGGCCAGCTCAGCCCACCAGGGGGCGGGGCTGGCTGGCCTGGCTGGCATGTGGTGGGGGATTGAACCGCGGTCCCTGTGCTTTGCTAAGCTTGTTCTAAGTAGGTGCTTTAGACCACTGAGCCATCTCACCAGCCCCACTGAGCCATCTCACCAGCCCCTAAGTTTAGAATTTTAGGAGGTAGTTTTTAGTTGAAGTTTGTGGGCAAAGTTTAAGATTATTTTGAAATATAATAACTGGAAAAGATAATAAACAAAGATGGTTACTATGATTATCTAAACAGAATGGTATATATAAAGGTATAAAGACTGAAAAATATAGATGGATTAAGTAAAAATGAATTACTTGGTGTGGCGGAGGTGGGGATTTTTTCCTTCATGGGCAGCATGTCACTTCTATAATATTTAAGAGTAGCTAGCCATTTGAAAAACTATTTACAAAGAACTCTGAATATTAGTGTTAACAAAACTATATATGCTACATTTTGAACACAAAAAACCTAATGTGGTTTAATACATTCCTCCTAGAAACCAATTATATATGAATATATATAAATACACAATATTAACACTCTTTTTCATACTATGATACCATTTCCAGCAAAATGATAAATTAGACCATTTAAAATTCACCTAAATGAGCTACATTAATCAACAGTAAGTTACTTAAAAAAAAAAAGGTCAAATAAAGATGTAAAAACATCAAGTCTTTAACCATCTAGTGATCTTTCTGATGAGGCTGTACCCTCATCAAAAATGTATGCTCACATGACAGGGGCAAAGCCATACATTTATATGCACAAGATGGATAAGACACTGATCCTGAGAATCTTCAGCATATTTTTGAAACTAGCAGTTAATTGGTAGGATTCTCACCCTGACTAACTATATATGCTGATACCTGTGAACTAAGCAACTGCACCGAAGATAGCAATGTGTAATGGTAGGGTCATGCTTGGAATGCCTGTCATTCTGGTCTTCTAAATACGTACTGCTTGTCATGACATAACCTATTACTGAGAAACTGCCTGTCAGGTAAA